TTTTTTTTATTTTTTTTTTTTTTGTCGGGGTCAGTTGGGAGCTTTTTAAGTTGTCTTTTCCAGAGGGCATGGATTTCGGTGTCTATTAGTTGTTGATGATGATGAGTGGGTTTTATTGGGTGGTGAGTCGGTCATCGAAGGTGTTGTTGCATCTGTTTTTCCATATGGCCCATAGGATGCTTTTCTTGATTTGGGAGGGGAGGAAGTTAGTTTGTAAGCGATGTACTCCTTTTGGTTATCTCGTAGGTCTCTTTCTGTTTTCCATGTTTTGTTTGGATTGTCCCAGATGTGCTTGATTTGCCATATTCCCTTTTCTAGCCAGCACCCCCATTTGGGTTCGGACTTCTGGAGTGGTAGGCTTTCCCCTTTATCGCTCTTGATCAGCGGGTTGCCAAAGAGGGGTTGTCTAAGGACTTCGTCTTTTCTTCTTTGGACCTGTTCTGTTCTCTGGGAAGATGATTCTCCAGGTGTGGAGGATTTGTTCCCAGAGGGATTTAGTCTGGGGGGTGTCGTTGGTGTTTCGATGGGGCGCACGGTTGGATTCTCTGTTCCCCTTTTGGAAGTGGCCAGGGGTTGTTGAAAATCCAGAAGAGACTGGTCGTGTTGGTCGGAAAAGTAAATGGTGCAAGTTCTCTGATGTGATTAAGGGCTAATGGGGTCCAGTGCAGATTGTCCTGGAGGGCTAATCTTATGACCCATTTGATTTTATGGTCACTGCGTTAGTTTATGGGGAAATGGGTTTTTCCTTGGTGCAACTGGGGGTGGGTGTGCGTGGTTGCCTGCACCCCTCTGGACTGGTGATGGCGTAATCGGCTGCTCTGGGTATGCAGGCCGAATGCTTTGAGTACTTGGTGTGAAATCAAACCTCTTACACATGTTGCTCAGAGATCCATTCTCCCCTCTTCTGTTACATCGGTGGACTTGTTTTGTGAATTGTGGGTCGGAGTCATCGTGATTGCTGATTGTAATTGATGGTTGAGACGTAGGGAAATGGGGGATGCCATGGCTGGATATCATTACTTGGTATGAAATCAAACCTCTCACGCATGTTGCTCAGAGATCCATTCTCCCCTCTTCATCCGTTAGATCGGTGGACTTGTTTTGTGAATTGTGGGTCGGAGGCATCGTGATTGCTGATTGTAATTGATGTTTGACAGTTCGAGGGGGTAGGAAATGGGGTGCTTCCCCGGGTGGATATCGTCGGCGGATGGATATCGTGCAAATTCTGCAAGTCCATTGTCATGTTTGAGTATCCGCTAGCTATTGTAGACCATCCTCCGCTCGCTCCCCCTCTGCTCCCCACGGTGATTCCCTGAACCTCTTATTGTGTCTTTTGATTTATGCTGATATGTTTAATATCTGGCTTCCAGTGGCTTCACAACGCTGTTCTTTGTGCTGGTTCATCTGCATGTCGTGAACATATTTGTATGCTGCGTTCTTCCTCTTAGGCCTTGTCAGTATGTCTATTATTCTCCTCCTCTCTCATGGGCAAGTGTGTAAGCACGGCGTTCCCAGTTTGCTTTTCTCCGTCTCTGTCATGTAAATATGTGCTTGTCCTTTTTGCGACTAGGTTATTTCTCTTTCTTTTGCCTTTCTCTTTTGTCTTTCTCTTTTGTCTCTCTCTTTTGTCTACTTGTCTCTCTCCTATCGCTCTGTCTGTCTGTCTCTCTGTCTTTCTGTCCGTCAGTCGCTTGGTCTCTCTCTCTCTCTCTCTCTCTCTCTCTCTCTCTCTCTCTCTCTCTCTCTCTC